GTCTTCAGTGTCATTTTGCTTTTGTTTCTTAAATCGCTTCTCCATACTTTCATAATAAGCCTAGGGTATTCTCATCTTTAATTAAATTAATAAAATATGTTTTTAATATTTATAAGGTTATTTTTACTTAAAAATTTACATCTTTGCATATAGAAAACATGATGATCATAAAATTTAAATATTTTTATGATTAGTAATATTATTTAAACAAAGAAAAAAAAGACATTAATTATTTCTTAAAGTATTGTACATTTAAATTAATGTTTGATATGTAGCATTAATTAATGAGAAGTTTTGTATTAGAAATTATAGAATTAATGTTCAATTTTGATTTGATTGAACTTGAAAATGTGTTTGTTTTTTATGAAATCAAATATCTTATTCGATAAGTTCATCATTAGTTCCTTCTTCTTATTATTCTTTTTTGAAACAATTCTCTTATTCTATCTATTATATAATTTAATTTATATTTTCTATTGCCTATTCATATTTTAAAAGGACTAATGGTTAGTTTTTATTTTATTTAAGTATAGTACTAATTTCATTCTTGAAATCATCTAAATCTCTAAGCACTAATCATATTGTCTATTTCATTACTTAGATTAATAGGATTCCCTTCATTGTCGAATTTATGAAGAGGATTAATCTATGGCTAAGTAATATCTATTGAAGATGATATTCTAGATTCAGTAGTAGATTCAGTAGAACCTGTTTTTAGACTTTAGAAGTCTTCTCTCATTTATACTTCATCTAAGTTTTCATTGAATTTCATTCCTCCATTTGAAATTATCATAGAACTATTGAGAAACCAAAGTGATTTTTTTTATAATTCACAAATAAATGTTGAATTTTAGTTACTTAAAAATTTCTATAAATAGTAATTATAACACATGAGATTTGATATATCGAAAAGAGGTGTGATTATTTTTGTTATTAATTATTCTATTGTAAATGCTAAAGGCACAACTTTTGTGAAATAAATGAGAGAATCATCTTCTTTTTAAATAAGAAACTCCATCTAAGTCATATCTACTGGAACTACTAAATTAGGCATCAAGTCCTCAATCTCATTATTTGTCATAAATTTAAGGTTTCCAAACATAGTTCGTACTAAATATGATTCTTATTTATTCATTGTGTATAATGGAATGCATGGACCTAAATTTCACCATATTCTTTTTGTTTACCTCCTTTCACTTGCTCTTATAGGAACTCCCAAAGAGCTTTACTTACGTAATGAGCTTAATTACGCTTATCAACTTTTAGAATTTACTCTTATGAGTTTTATTGTATAATTATTGGTTTTATAGGTTGTATATTGAATTCTCTCTTAAAATTGTTCAATACGTTATTTAATTACATTTCTTCTTCTTAGCAAATGCTATATAGTTATAACAATAAACTTATACCAAAGTGAATAGTTATCAATTTTAGAGAAGTTAGGATTGAAATTAAATAAATCATCTTAAAATTATTCATACCTTAACTTTATTAATATTAGTTACCATTTCCTACAAATAGCAAATATTTAAGGTCCAGAAAGATCATTTCCTATGGTAAGAATTTCATCGATTATATTCATTTATTTTTATATTTTTATATTTTTACACTTATATTTTGTTTATTATTTTACCAATCCCATATAAACATTTCATGATTAACTTATCGAGAACATTACTAATTCATAAATCTTAAATTTAATTAATAAAATTGTCATAAGTTCTAATATTCTTTTTAATATGTAAATAAATATGTAAATGATTAGTGACTTTTTCTTATTGATTTATATTTTCAGTAATATTAAAATTTATATCATATTACATATATTATATGTAATGAAAAATAATAATTTCTAATCAAAAGTTATTATTTAGGTATCCAAATCAATCATTAATTAAATAATTCTGTTATAATGACTCTGTATTTTCGTATAAACCATATAATTTATTTGATATTATTAAATAATCAAATATTTAAAATAAAGATATTATCAAGACCATTAAATAATTATTAACTAATACCTTAATTCATTTTATTTTTTTAAATCAATAATTAATTTACTTCAAATTGCTTTTTTATTTTATGTATAATTTCCTCTTCCTTATTTATCTTACCAAAAATAGATTAAAAAATTTTAATTTGTTCACTTTCCTAATTGTTAAAATACTCTCATAAAGTATTTTTATACTTTTTTGATATTCATATTTATTTTAATCATAATAAGATGATTTTACTTTTATTTTTATTATTCTTTACTTTTTAATTTATTTTGATATTGTTCTTTGACAATTTTTAATATCATTTGAAAAGAAGTATTATTTATAATTGAACTTATTAGAAATACATTTATTGAATAATAATAATTGAAATATATACATTGACTTTTTTTCTGAAATTAATATATTTTATAAAATATTTTATAATAAATAATGATTATTGTAAAATTGTCTAATCAGATAATTTTTTGATTTTTTTATTGTTTATTCACAATGATTTAAGATATAATAATTAATTTTATTATATTTAAATATGATTTTTGTTCAATTTTATCCTAATCCATATAAAATTTAATAATTATTTCTTTTTAGATTTAAGTTAAGATTTATAAAATTTTTATAATAGTAAAAATAATTGATAAATTGATAATAATTAGGAATAAATAAAATAAGATGTCTTCTTATTTAAAGACTCTTTATTTTTATTGAAATTTTATGATGTATAAATAAATAAAACACAATACCTAATTCATTTTGGTTTTCTGGAAATATATGTAGTATCTAAGATATTTTCGAAAATCAAATAAAATATGTAAACAACATAATTAAATTTATCTAATAATGAACGACTAAATGGATATAGAATACGATCTATTTGAATTTTAAGGTTTATTAGGATAAGGATCTTTCGGAACTGTGCTGAAAGCGTTTAATAAAAATACAAAATAAACAGTAGCTGTGAAAGTATGTTATTAAAAAACTTAACTTATTGTAGGTAATTAAGAAAAAATAAATGTTATAATATGCGTAACTAATGTAGGAAGCACAAATTTAATAAGAATTATAACATCCCAATATTGTTAAATTTTTTGGAGTTTATGAGACTGAAAATAAAATCCTTATAGAAATGGAACTGATATGTGGAGGTAAAAATGTTATACAATATAGGTTCATTAAGTTCAATAACAAAATGTACAGAAGAATAAGCAAAATATATAATGTATTCAATTTTTAATGCATTACAGTATATGCATAACAACAATATTGCTCATAGGGATTTAAAACCTGAAAACATACTTGTTACACATGATCTCAGCTTTGTTAAAGTGACCGATTTTGGATTAAGCACAGGATACTCATCATTGATGACTAAATAGTGTGGAACACTTATATATATGGCTCCGGAATAATTAAATAATAGGATATATAATAAGGCGGTAGATATATGGGCAGCTGGAGTTATTATGTATTAATTACTTGTTGGTGAACATCCATATTATAAAAAGGGATGTGATGTTGCTTAATCTCAATTAACAATGCATGAAAAATGCAAGAAGATTTTGAATGAGTATTGATAAATTAATTAATCTAGAGTAAATAGTTCAGTCTATTTCGAAGATTGACTGAAATAAATCCAACAAAACGATATAGTGCTACATAGGCTATGTTGCATCCTTGGTTTAATAATGGAAGTGATGAACCATTAACTATGGAAGAATAATTTTAATAGTGGAAGTAATCTTAAAAATTCCAAAATATCATTTTACTTTTAATGTTGTTAAGTAAAATAGGCTACAAAAAGGTATTACATAATAAAGAATTATATTATTAAATTTCAAAGAACTTAAATAATAAAAAGAAATAAGATGTTATGAATAATTATGACTAATTATTTGCTGAATACTAAAAATCATTAACAGATGCTTAAAAAACTAAAATTTCCACTGTAGTTCTTACACCAAGAATAGAATAGAATAATGAAAATAGTGGACCAAGTATTTTTCAGTCTTCATTAATTAAACCTTTTAAGTTATAATCTTAATTTGATAAAAATGATGCAACAAGAATTATCAATACAAATTCGTAAGTTTAAACTCCTTTAAATGTTTATGATAATGATTTAGATTAATAAATACAATTTTCTAAATAATCTTGTATCATAAAGGATAGATTAGACAAATAGAATATTCGTCCTTAAGCTATGATTCAATCTTAACCTACTAAATTAACATCTAATCTATCTGAAATTGATAGTAATACTCAAGATAATGATACTCAATAATAACAACTAGAGAAATAGTGTTAGTAATCGACAGCCACAAATACAACTAGTGCAAGTCCTACTAAATCTCCTTTAAAAAGAAAAAGAGTAAAAAGAACATAAATTAAATAATATCTTAATGAAGAGATCGTTTAATCTAATTTATAGTAATAAATATCAAATAACACTCAAAAACAATTATAATAATAATAATAATAATAATAATAATAATAATAATAATAATAATAATAATAATTATAATAATAATAATAATAATAATAATAACAATAACGATAACAATAATAATAATAATAATAATAATAATCAACAACTAATGTAATTAGACAACAGTCTCCTTCACCAAAAAATAAATTTAAGATTCAATTAAAACCACTTAATCATTAATAATAACCTATAAATTATAATTCTTAACAAAATGGAAATCAGTCCTTACGTTTAAAAGCTTAAAAACTATCAGTTGATAGAGAATTCCTTGCTCCTCCAGTTTTAGATTTAAGTAATTTAGCACTTGAATGTTTGAGTCCAAAGTATCGAAAAACTCGTACAAATAGTTTGCATTATTAAAAAAGAGTCTATGCTAATGAATTTTAACCATCTAGGATCTTGGGTGGTGCTTACAAAAAGAATTACGATTCGTTTTATATGAAATGAATTCTTTTTACAACTAAAATTCTTTTAATAGTTTTTTATTTAATTGCTTTTTTAAGTTTTATTTAAAATTTTATTTAAATATTAATTCTGAATATATAAATTCATAAACATAAACAATAAAATTTCATATTCAAAATTTTGGACCAGCATTAATAACTTCTTATGTTGCTTTATCTTCATATTTTTTGAAGTTAATTTAAAATTTCTCAGCCAATTCAAGAACTTATTTATCAAATTCTTCAGGATTTCTAAAATATATTAATATATTACTTCCATGTATTTCTTGGGTTCAAGATTTATGTTGGAATGTTTTTAGCTGATTTGGGGATGGCAAAATTGAAAATTGGGAAGTTTTCAAACTCTACATCTTTTAATTCTCCTGTATGAATCAAATCAATAATTCCTCTAGTATATTTTAATGACATTCTTTATCCAACTCCATATTTACCACCTGACCAACCAGTGTTGATTAACCAAACTTTAGTATCATATTTCTTTATCTTTTCAGCCAACATATTAGCATAGAGAGTTGGATGAAGAGCTAAAAATGCTTCTCCAAAACATGCTGAAAATGTAGCTTATGGTTCTTTGACACCAACTTCAGTACCAGCTACTTTAGCAGTATATCCTGAAATGAAATGATACATAGCTTATTCTGGTGTTAACATAGAGACTGGAGGTAAAACACCATAAGCATCACATGTCAAAAAGAATATATTCTTAGGATGATCTCCTTAAGCTGGGAATTTAGCTCCTGGAATATATTCTAATGGATAACTGACTCTTGTATTTTCTGTAATTGAAATATTTGTGAAATCGACTTCTCTTGTTTCTTCTGAATAATATTCAATATTCTCCAAAACAGCTCCAAATCTTACTGCATTATATATTTCAGGTTCTTTTTCCTTTGAAAGATCAACACATTTTGCATAACAACCTCCTTCAATATTAAATATGCCATTGTCAGACCAAGCATGTTCATCATCACCAATAAGTCTTCTTTTGGGATCAGCACTTAAGGTTGTTTTACCTGTGCCACTTAATCCAAATAATAAGGTAACATCTCCATTTTCACCTTCATTAGCAGAACTATGTAATGTGAGTATTCCTTATTTGGGGAATAAATAATGAGTGACTCCAAAGACTCCTTTCTTCATTTCACCAGCATATTAAGTTCCTAAAATGACCATCTTACGTTCAGTCAAATTAACAGCAACACATCCTTCTGATTTAATTCCTTCAATTGGTTTCTAAATTGTTTATGGACCAGCATTGAAAATGTAAAAATCAACATCTCCACTGAAATCCTTTTTAAGTTCTTCATCAGTTGGTCTGATTAACATATTCTTCATGAACAATGCATGATAAGGTCTAGTACAAAATACTCTAATTCTTAATCTATAATTAATATCCCATCCAGCATATCCATCAATTATAAACAACTAAATGATTAATATTATATGGTTACTTTCTCTCTGTTATTTAAATACTCAAGAGCAATCTTTTCAACCTCATTATAAGAGTCTTGGCTCAAAGCAATATTTACATCTCCCCACCAAACATCTCTTTCTGTGACTTCATCTTTTATGATTCTCTTATCCTTAGGAACACGACTAAATCATAGAACAATATTAGATACCCGCATTTCTTTCCTGAATATGCAACCAAAGCTCCAGTGTTATTTATAGAATCTGGTCTAACAGTTGGATCCTCACTTAGTGGTTAAGACATTGAGAGCTCATAGAGGAGAGGAACACTAGGGTTTCTAAAGACAGTTGCATTACGAAGTCCCCATTTTGTTAAGAGTTCTTAGGCTTAGACTGTTTGATTTTCCATAATTAAGGAATTTTATTTATGACGATTTCATTTCTATATTTAGAACTTAAATATTACGTATTTATATAAGAATTCCTATTAACTCAAATAATACGTAATCGAATACTCAAATTATACACTTCTAGAAACATCTCTTTTTAATTAAGTTTAATAATTTGATGACGAACCATTATGATAAATAAAACAATTAATGTTATTACTCCAATTACAATATTTCACTATAAAAAAATCATCCCTTTTAAACATGTCTTATATTCAAATAATTTCAAATGAAGGCTCTTTTTTCTTATTGAGTCTTTATATAATCTAAACGATACTTTTCTTGGCATTTATTTTTGGTAATCTTCATTTTTTTTTAAATAGTATAGATGTCTATAATACATAAATTAAATGGGAGAAATATTATAATTAAGCATATATTATACATATATATATATATATTTACTTTAAGGGTTGAGTTTAATAAAACCATAATAGACAATACATTAGAGGAATTGATTATAAAAACACTTTATATTTACGAATAAATTTTATTTATTTACAAATAGTCTACATAAACAAGGATATTATTGAATTACTTAGTTTAGATTAGAATTGTTAAACTAAAAGCTACTATCTATTTTTAGAGTTTTTTTTATGAAGAAGTGTTAATAAATTAGATTATAGAGCATAAATAAAATTAGAATAAAATTATAATAAAAATTAATATATTATAATTAATAAATATTATATAGATTATGCATCAAAGTTTTGCAATCATTTACCTTCATATATAGAACGATTTTCTCTATTTATATAATCTTGTACTATTTGTTCATATATTATATGTTTATAACCTTGTGAATAAGCTAATGAATATAAATTATTAATAACTTAGATGATCAGTCTAATTGAGGTTTAGTGCCATTTCAAATCAAAGAAGTACCCAAATTTATGTAATGGTAATTCATTTATTTTTAAAAAAGAGATTTATTTTTCCTCTATATAACGTTTAAATGATCTTTTGAACTTGTAGATTAAATTAAATTTTCAGAAGTTCATATCAATGTAGAAAAAACCATACAAATTTTAATGTATATTAAGGCCAAAAATGTTTAGTTATTAAAGAGGATATTATATAGGTAGAGTAATAGAATAATTATAATAGACAATAATCAAAAGCATTTTTAAAAGTAGATACTTTTAATATTACCATCAGTTTACGTGTTTTGATAATAACAATCCTTTACTATTTACAATTAATGTTAGTTATTGTTAACCAGGATTATTTTGTATGTTACTTTTTTAATCATATTCTGAAATTAAATCTTAAATTATAGACAGAAAAAATAGAAAGTTATTTTTAATTTGCCATTTATTTTGGGAAGTCCATTGAGAATAATACTCAAAGTCAGATACATATGGAACCAATTTTTCATAAATTTTGTACAATTAAAGATTAAATAATTCTAAGAAATGGAAGAGATATTTATTGATTATACATAATTACTAAAATTATTGATATTTTATAAATAGTTATTCATAATTTCTTATTTTTAATTCAATTAGTTTGTTATACAATTATTTTAACGTAAAATTTCTATTATGAAGTACTTAATATAATGAATATTAAGAAGTCTTAATTTCAGATATATATTTTAATTTGTTAACAAACTAATATAAGTCTTCAATAATATAAAACTTCATTAATTAAAATCTGTTAAAGGAAACCATTTGAAATATGCTTTCTTATCGATAAAATGAGTCAAAAAAACCCAAAAACTTTCACTTAACTAATAATTTAGAGACTTCTACGATATCATGTAAATCAAAGAATTCCTTCAAAGATCTAAGCGATTATAGAAGTAAAATTTTACTATAAAAGAAGATCGCACTCCTGTAGAGAAAACATTAAACCTTCATTAAAATTAAGAGAGCGTTACTAAAATTAAACAAATGCTTAATAACTTAGTATAAACAGATAATAAATCTTCAAGTTCTTTATTTGGATAAGGTCTTAGAGATAAATAAATATAAGACACTAAATCTACAAGAGGAGATAGTATTTGTAATATTGCAATTTAACTTAAGATTCTAGAAATGCTTCAACCTCTGGTTATGTAAATAAGAATCCATTAAATAAAACAACCAAAACTAACGATTCTTTTTTCAAATAAAATATCCCTGCCCCATAATCAACTCGAGAGTCTAATTAAAATAATGGTAATCTATCAAATCTATATTACATGTTTTAAAATAAATAATCTGACCCATAAATTAAGCAAAATAATTTAACATTATCTTAGTTAGCAAAACAATAATAATAATAATAATAATAAAAATAATCTTAATAATAAAGAAATAGTAATAACACTACTCCTTAAAAATCTGGAAATAATATTAATAATAAAAATATTTCATCAACTGAATATCTCAATCAAATATAATAACTTAAATTAAAAATTGATAATAGTTTATAAAGAAAACCTGTATAGAAAACAGAAAAATAATAAAAATCCAGTAATTCTTAATTAATTAAAAGTATCTCATCTTAGATATTACAAAAATAATAATAAGATGTTAATCATGGAGTAAAGAAGGAAGTAATTTAAGAAAGAGTATTTTAATTATTACTTGAAAAAGAATAATTATGGAATCAAATGAATACTTCATTAGATAATATTAACTAAAATTAATTAAATTAACTATGTTAGTAGATCTAGTAATCTTTAAATTCCCTTTTAGATCGAAAAAATGTATTCATTTTAATAATTATTAGAGCGAATACTTATCTAAAATAGATATGAATATCATTGATACATTCTTATTAGAATCTTACACAATACTTATTATAGCACTAGAATATCTAAAAACTTAATAAATTTTTGATTAAAATTTAAGAAATTTAATTGTTTATGTGGCTCAAAGTAACTTTTACATATTATAATCAATTTTTACTTATATTCCAAATGTAATATTTTATTATATTTCAGGATACATTGAAATAAAGAATTGATATGAGATAAATCTAATAAAAGAAACCATAAAACAAAACTAAATAAACTTTATAAAAAAACAATTTTATAATCAAATCTATACTAGAATTAATGTAAGTAAATTATCAATAATAGGAATTGACGACACAAGTCACCCAGAGATATATTCTCATTTAGGATTTAATTCAACTAGTTTAGATGTTTATTTTGTTTAACAAAAGAAAATTCTTCATTAAATAGCAAAAGAAATAATCTAAGATGAAAATCATAATAATTTGAATTGTAAAAAACCGTCAAAACTATTTGAAAAAACTAACAAAATGTTGTTGCCCTTAAAACCATTGAAAAATTACACATTAGTTTTAGATCTTGATGAGACTCTTGTGCATTATTAGGAAGTATTTTTAGATTAAAAATAAAGCTTCCTAATGGAGGAGGATAATTTTTAGTTAGACCATTTGCAGAAGAATTCTTAGAAAAATTATCTAAATATTATGAATTGGTAATATTTACAGCTGCTTAACCAGATTATGCTAATTTTATTATTGATATAATTGATAAATAAAAAGTAGTGACTGCAAGACTTTATAGAGAACATACTCTTTTTAAAAATAATACATACCTTAAAGTAATTTAATAAATATATGTAGGATTTATCAATTTTAGGTAGAAGTTTGGAAAGAGTAATTATAGTTGATAATATGCCAGAGAATTTTTAATTATAACCAGAAAATGGTATTTACATTCTGAGTTGGACAGGTGATTAAAATGATCGAGCCCTAAAAGATTTAATGCCTTTATTGGAATGTATTAGTTTATAAAATTTAAGAAATTGCATTAAAAAAATGTAAAGATGTTAGAGATGCTTTAAATCAATTTAGGGAGCAAATGATCTTAAAAGTTTAACAGGGTATTAAAAACCCATATTAAAATCTCTCCTTAGAATGAAACTTAATTGTGAAGATATTTTATGTTTTATTTATAAATTATATTTTAACAATAAAATAATCTTCTTGTATCTTCAATTAAAAGATATATTAATTAAACTAAAGTTTGTTATTTAAAAATTCAAAAAAAAACACACTGAAAGGATATAAAATTTTGGTTGATAAAATATTATTGGATTAGAATAAATGCAGGTCAAATATAATTATGTTTAATGGGAACTATTCTAATTTTAAATCTACAAAATAGATTGTAGTGTTTAATTAATATAAATTCTTAGTATAATGATAATATATTGAGGTAAAACTCAAACTATTTAGTAATTTTATTACTATTTTGATTTATTGAATAATAAAATTTTAAAATAAGAATTAGATAAAATAATTTTAAGTATTATGAACCTAATATTAGATTTTGATATTAATAATACCTGTGTTTTGCAAGTATTTACGTCTCCTCTCATAAAAAAACAAATTATTAATGTAATATTAAACTATATATGATATGATAATATTTTCTTTAATGAAGGGTTATAAAGATTAAAGAGTTCTAAGTTGACTTTGAAATCGTACATTGATATTTAGGGATTTCTAAAATTCTTTACCTTTATTTTCTAAAACTTAAAAAAAAAAGAATTAAAAAAAATTTAAATCTTTTTTAATGCCTCCCAAAGTTGACCCAAATGAAGTTAGATTGATTAACATCAAAGTATTTGGAGGAGAAGGTGGTCCAGCATCCACTCTTGCTCCAAAATTGGGACCTCTCGGTCTTGTAAATATAATTGCTTATTAATAAGAATCCAAAATAAGTCGGTGATAAAATTATTGCTGAAAGTGGAAAATGGAAGGGTATTAGAGTCATGGTTAACTTGAGATGCTAAAATAGAAATGCTGATGTTACAGTCATTCCTACCTCAAGTGCATTACTCATTAAAGAAATTGGAGTAATTAAATAATTAAAAACTTTTAGGGTTATGAGAGAGATAGAAAGAAGACAAAGAATGTTAAACACAATGGAAATTTAACACTTGAATAAGTCATTAAAGTTGCTAGAGCTATTGAAGAAAAATCATTAGCTAAAACATTCACAGGAACAGTTAAATAAGTGTTAGGAACTGCATAATCTTTGGGAGCCACAGTTGATGGATAACCAGTAAAAACAATTATTGGAAGAATTAATTCTGGAGAGCTTAAAGTTGAAAAATGATAAATANAGAATGAAACTTAATTGTGAAGATATTTTATGTTTTATTTATAAATTATATTTTAACAATAAAATAATCTTCTTGTATCTTCAATTAAAAGATATATTAATTAAACTAAAGTTTGTTATTTAAAAATTCAAAAAAAAACACACTGAAAGGATATAAAATTTTGGTTGATAAAATATTATTGGATTAGAATAAATGCAGGTCAAATATAATTATGTTTAATGGGAACTATTCTAATTTTAAATCTACAAAATAGATTGTAGTGTTTAATTAATATAAATTCTTAGTATAATGATAATATATTGAGGTAAAACTCAAACTATTTAGTAATTTTATTACTATTTTGATTTATTGAATAATAAAATTTTAAAATAAGAATTAGATAAAATAATTTTAAGTATTATGAACCTAATATTAGATTTTGATATTAATAATACCTGTGTTTTGCAAGTATTTACGTCTCCTCTCATAAAAAAACAAATTATTAATGTAATATTAAACTATATATGATATGATAATATTTTCTTTAATGAAGGGTTATAAAGATTAAAGAGTTCTAAGTTGACTTTGAAATCGTACATTGATATTTAGGGATTTCTAAAATTCTTTACCTTTATTTTCTAAAACTTAAAAAAAAAAGAATTAAAAAAAATTTAAATCTTTTTTAATGCCTCCCAAAGTTGACCCAAATGAAGTTAGATTGATTAACATCAAAGTATTTGGAGGAGAAGGTGGTCCAGCATCCACTCTTGCTCCAAAATTGGGACCTCTCGGTCTTGTAAATATAATTGCTTATTAATAAGAATCCAAAATAAGTCGGTGATAAAATTATTGCTGAAAGTGGAAAATGGAAGGGTATTAGAGTCATGGTTAACTTGAGATGCTAAAATAGAAATGCTGATGTTACAGTCATTCCTACCTCAAGTGCATTACTCATTAAAGAAATTGGAGTAATTAAATAATTAAAAACTTTTAGGGTTATGAGAGAGATAGAAAGAAGACAAAGAATGTTAAACACAATGGAAATTTAACACTTGAATAAGTCATTAAAGTTGCTAGAGCTATTGAAGAAAAATCATTAGCTAAAACATTCACAGGAACAGTTAAATAAGTGTTAGGAACTGCATAATCTTTGGGAGCCACAGTTGATGGATAACCAGTAAAAACAATTATTGGAAGAATTAATTCTGGAGAGCTTAAAGTTGAAAAATGATAAATAAAATATATTATACATATAAGTACATTAACTTGATATTTTTATATATGAATTTCATAAAATATTAGATTATAATAATAGATTTATGTTATCATTTAAAGAATTATATATAATTTATAAAAATAAAAATAAATAAGTAATTGGAATTAGATATTAATTAAATTTCACTTAAATTATGTTAATATAAATATATCTAGTATCATTTAGTATATATATTTATTATATTAATGGTAAGATAATTTATATAATTTATAATTTTTATGATATTGAAATTAAAGTTCTAATATTATTAAATACATTAAATTAAGATTAGATTATAAATTATTAATAATAAATAATTAAACCTTTTTTAAATATATAATCAAATATAAGGTTAATTGTATTAATGAAAAGATTCACAAGAATTTTCTAATGATATTATGATAATTTAAGTTAATTGTTATCTGAAATTTAGTATGTTATAAAGGTTTTATTAATTATTAGAATATTTGAACAGTTTAAGTTTATTTGTATTTAATATAAATAGATATATATTGTTAATTAATATAATATATTTTAAGGTAATTATATATATTAAATTTAAATTTATTTAATATGAATTATATAATATATAAATATGAAAATTATATCATTTCAAATTATCATTTGAAGATTTTTCAAAATAATCTTTTATCTGAAATTCGAAAATCCTCCTAAGTTCACTTATATTAGATGATAGTTAAGGTTTAAATTTTGGAGGAGATAAGAGCTATTTTTCTTAGTAATTTAATTCTTATTTAGAAAACAGATTTTGAAAATATGATATTTAAGATGAAATGTTAATTCTATTTTTAAATTTAGTTGTGATTTCAGAAATCTCCTTAAAATCTTTGATATTTATACCATCTATTTATGCCTTTTAAATTTGTTAATTAAAGCATTATTTTGATGATATACTATCTAAATGCTTAATTATATCATCAGTTGAATTTTATAAAGTTTAATTAATTGTATTTTGAATTGGCTCATAATTATACTCTGTATTCTTCAGAATTAACTCTTGCTTTAATTATTATTTGCTTATAATTTTCATTTTTCTTGTACTATATTATAGAATAAAATGATTACTTATCATCCAACATTAGTACAACCACATTTTATTTTATATTAATTTATCTATCTCGCCTTTCTTTTTTATTAATTCTACCCTCATTTTTATATATTCTGTAAATAGCTTTTATCGTTGATAAATTATGTCCTGTAAGGTGAGCAATCTATATTATAAATTTATCAATACTTATATGGCAGAATAATCATTTTCCAAAAACATTTTGATTATATTTTATCTTTCATCTGAACTAATTGAATTATATTTTTGCCTTTTAGAATGTTTAAGACTTAAGTTTATCATAATATTTAAAAGAAGTTAAATAATAAGATTTAATGAATATGTTTTTAATGAAATTTCTTTTACTCAAATAAATATGTTTCTGGAGTAATTTTTAGAAATTGATTTTAACAATCATTTGTTCTAAAGAATACTTAAATTTCTACATTCATCTATTCTTTTTAAATAAAACATAAAATTTGTAAATATTATCCTAAGAAATCAAACATAAAAATAACTAAAACAAATATAAGATATAATTTAAATATATTATAATATAAAATTTACTAACTTTTTAAATCTAGTTCTAGTGAATAAAATATAATAAAACTTTGAAAACTCTAATTCTTAAAAAAATAATGATATTATTGAAATCTCTTAATAAAATAAATTAATTAAGGTATTTAAAATAAACATATTTAATTATTATTAATTATTTTTGAATAAGTTCATATTCGAGTTTTGCTTAATTATTAAATTTTGAATCTAATATATTTGTCATATATTATTATTATTTTTTATAATTCTAAATGGATTCAAAAATCTAATAATAATTATATGATATTTTAATATATATTTTAATATATTTTTATTAAATAATTTTTCAAATGCTCAAAAAACCATAATAGCAAAATTAAGAATACCAAATCAAACCTAAACCTAGAGAGAAATTCAAATCTTCTAAATGTAGAGAATTAATTTAAGAAATATTACAATAAAAATTAAAAACAGGATCATATTAGGATGTAACAACTCAATCCAAAGACATTGCTGAGAACATTAAAAACAGATTAAAATAACAATATACTGTTACAAGCAGATATAAGTTTATTGTACATGTTTTAATTGGTTAATAAAGAGGTAAATTTAATAGATAATTATATTATTTTAGGTTAAGGAGTGAGAGTAGGTTCAAAATGTTTTTGGGATTATGACACTGATATGTGTGTTTCAGAAACCTTCATAAATGATTCATTATTTTGTTTGGTAACAGTCTATGCTGTATACCTTTATTGAATTTATTATTAATGATATATAGTTAATTAATATTGTGTGCCTCTAATTAGAGAATTATTAATTTAATAATGTAAAATAAATACAAAAAAGTATAGGACATTTATATTGAAATGGATAAAAAATGTCTTTTAGAATAAAATAAATATGAAACAAGATTAGGTTTATGTGAGATTGATGGACATAAGAAACATGCTGTGATTAAAATAATAGGAAATGATAATTAACCTGAAAGTTTAAGATAAATAGAGGCCATTAGAAATATGGCTGCTAAAACATAAATGTTTAAAGGTAATCCATATATAATTGAATGTTATTCTCGTTAAAGAACTTAAAATACTTTTTATTTTGCTTTCAAAAAATGTAAATAAAACATAATGTAAGTAACTTTGGATTTTTATGAGATTTTACATATGTTAGCATCTATGATATAATTACTAAAATTATTTTAATAGAAAGGTGAATTTCATGGAAATTTGAAACCTACTAATATTTTTTAATAAAAGAAACTAAATTCAACAATTTGTTTCTCTACTACAGATTTTTTTCCTTATTAATATTCTAATAGGATATTGGATGAATATATAGATCCAGAATTTGATAAAGATAAACCTTCAATTGCACATGATATATATTCTTTAGGAAAGGTTTGTAATTATGTAATAAAGAATAGAAAATGTCCTTATTAAAATTTAATTAATCAAATGAATTGTAGTAAATAGGATAGAATAAAATTAGATTAATTAGAATTATAAGTTGAATAAATGATAGAAAAATATGAATAAAAAAGTTTAAGAATGGAATTAAATTAAAAAGGTATAACAGAGGAAGTCATTTAAAAAATAATAATGTAATAAGTTGAGAATTAAAAAAAGAAATAATTAGAATAAACTAAATGGTCAGATTTTGAATTAAATTAAAATGTGGATAGAGATTTTAATATAAGAGATAGAGCATAATTTTTATATTTAATGTCATAAGAAATTCGTAATTTATAATCAATAGATTAATTTTTATTAGATTGTTTAATTTTATCTTGTCTTTCAGAATCATTCAATACATTTTAAGAATGTTAAAAAATAACTTAAAATAAAAAATTGAAATAATTAGTAGAATCAGATTTAATATAGATGAATAAATATTTAAATATCATTAATTTGCAATGTGAAATATATATTTAAGATTTAATTCTAAAAGAATATGATGTTGGATTTTTTAAATAATATATCTCTACTTATTCATAACCTAATCATTTATTCAAAAAAGCTCTTAGTTTAGTGATGGAAGACATAATAAATAAAAATCTAACAAAAGAATTATTATTAAATGATGAATTAGATAAATCAGATATAAAGGCATTAAATTATATTTTAGTATCAAATTAAATGAAATAAGACGTATGCTATGATTATAAAGGATTGCAATAATATATTCAATCTTAATAACAAGTAATATAATTATGAAATAATTCACTTTCTAACTTTTTTTATTTTTCTAATTTTCTATTTTATTGATAATATTTTCACTTCTTTCTATACGCTATTATTAGAGTAAATCTTCTCATATTAAAAATTTATATATATTTATTGATTTTTCATTATAACATTCGTCTCAAATAGATTAAGAAATATAATTAAAGTTAGCTGTTGTAATATTTTTTTTTTTTTTTCAGTTTAGTATTTATTTAATCTTAAAAGATGCTTAAGTTAAATAGTTAATTTATTAGTCTCTTTTTATAATTTTCTTATTTCTTTTTTTTTTCACTTTCTAAATCAATCATAAAAATCAAACTAAATTAAAATGATAGCATATAGTAAAAGTAAAAGAGAGAAACTTAAGGAAAAAATTCGTATTCTATAATATCCTGAGCAATTCAAGTCATAGATCCATCATAATTATATAGTTTTGGATGAAAAGTATTTGAATTTAGGTGGTAATTGTGTTATACTAAACATCCCTAAGATTATGTATTAGTATTTGACAATCCAGATCATGAAGATTATAAGTACAAAGATAATTGCATTCAATTTCAGGATGTTTTACGTGACTTTGATAAAGTAAATAACTTCTTTAAAAAAAGTGTTTTGACGTTGATACATCATTTGAATCTCCAGATGAAGAATTATTAAGAATGGCCTTTTTGAATGTATTTAATCGACTTAAATAACCTCCTCCTGAATATAAAGAAATAGAAAGAGGCTTTTAATCATCAACACAAAACAAACAAAAATTATTTATTGTGAATGAATTTGGAACTTAAGTAAGAATTAAACCAGATGAAACTCGTCAAATGGGAATGGGAGGTTTCTTGAAATACAATCCATAAACAAATCATTGGGAGAGAACAGGAGAAAAGGTTTCTGATGTTGCCACTCTTTTTAGAATATTATTATTATACAAATTATCTATTCATGCAGGGTAACAAAATTATTATATTCTAAATTTATAGGTTTTTTATTAGGTAATTTTTAAGTTTAGATGGTACTAAGATTTATGCAGTATTATTTTAAGAATTACGAAATCTTATAATAGAAGCATAAAGAACTTATTTGAAGAAGAGAGTAAGTATAGCATTTTGTGATATACTTTCATTAGAACCAGTAGATGATGCGTATTAATATTTGAATAATTTAGATTTCGACCTTTACGCTTTAATAAAGTAATAAGATCTAAATTAATTGGATCAGATATAATTTTTGAAACTCATTAAAAAGAAATTAGAAAACTATTAAAAATAATTGATTATAATAAATTAGCTAGAGAATGTAATTAATATCCATATGAAATATCTGGAGAGATATAATAATAAAGAAAATTGACAACTGATATTTTAAATGCTTATGTGTTTTATTTGGAATATGTTGCAATTGAATTAACTAAAGTAAGAAAGAAATATAAAGAAAATGATTTTGCTTAAATTCTTACATCCTAAGAATTAAAAGAATTGGTTGCTGATTTAAAAGAATAAAGTTTTAAATCAAAATCAACAAAATTTTATGTTAGAGATTAAAGTAAAGGAAATTGGAAAGATACAAATAAAAGAAAAATAAAAGTATTTTTGAAAAGAAAGATGGCTTTAGAAATTGAATAGATTTTATAGTAAGCTAAACATTAAACAGATAAATTATATGGTAGAAAATTATTAAGTATTTGGGATAGATTAGGTATGGAACCTTAAGGTCCTTATATTGAATATTTTTATCCAAGAAAAAAGTAGAATTATAATAAATTTATTTAATAAGATTCTATATGGACATATCAGATAATAAATGAAAAGGGAGAACGTTCTTTATTCAATAAAATGGAAAGAGCAAAATTAAATACATCAATTTTAAAATAATTAGTAAATTTAGAATATTTAAGTTCATAAGATTATATTAGAGATCATCTAATACCAAATAGTTATTTTGATTTAGATGGATAAAAATACAAAGATGAACATTATTAACCATTAAAAAAAGCAAAATAATAAAAATAAGATTTATTCTTTTCTATGAAATTAATATAGACAGTAAAAGCTAAAATCTAAAAGTTTATATAAAAAGATGAAAATGATTAATAAGATAAAAAAAAAAGGATTTAAACAGAAGGTGGTTTAAATGGAGATAATTTATTAAATTTATGGGGATTATTAGATGTACCAGTTTAACATATTTGTTCATATTATGGAGAGAGAATAGCATTGTACTTTATGTTTTTATAATTTTTTGTATAAGAATTATTACCTATATCATATTTTGGAATATTAACATTTATAGTCTAATTACTTTATGATGTTGAAGCTTTAGCTAATAAAGTATCTATAATATTTTTTACAATAATGATTGTATTTTGGTCATCAACATTTTAAGCTTTATGGATTCGTTAAGAAATGTAATTTTAAACAATGTTTGGTTTAGAAGATGTTGAATTAAATTAAATTGAATTAATAGGATTTGTTGGTAAACCTAAAAGATCTATAGCAAATGATAAATTAAATGATCTTTAATATTCATCAAAAGAGACTTGGCTTAAATTCTTTTTTAATATGATATTGGTAGCAATATTTTTAGTGATTGAGATAATTATTATAGTTGCATTATAATTGTTATCCTTATATTTAGAAAAGAATCCAGATGTTCCTTATATTGAATTTATTGAATTATCTGTCTTTATTCCAGCTCTAATATGGGTTTTTATTGGAATTTTGTTAGATAATATTTATAGACCAGTGGCATTTTTTTTAACGAAATGGGAGAATCATAAATATTTATCTTAATTTGAGACAAGTTTTATTATAAAAAGTAATAATTGAATATTTATAATAGATCTATTATTTTCAACTGTGAATCGTTTAGGATAACCTTTTATAATAGCATTTTTTTATGAAGAAACTATAGGTTGTGTAAATGAAAATTATTGTTATTCACAATTATAAATTTATATGAGAGTTGTATTTATAATAGAATTTGGTAAACATATTTTATTTGGATTTATATTTCCAATAATAAAATAAATTTATTAAAGGGCAAGATATGGTTTAGTAAGTATTGTAGATTTTGGGGAATCTTTATAAAAGAAAACACGTAAAATATATATTTATATATTTTAATAGCTTATTATCATTTTAATAAAACAATTGAAGCAGAAACTTAAAAGGAATCTTTTACAATTGATTAAGTTGATGGAACAATATGGGAATATTTAGAATTAAATTTATAATTTGCTTTATTAGCTAATTTTGGAAGTCCTTTTCCTTTAATTTTCATAACAGGATTAGCTATGAATTATTTAGAATTATTTTTAGATAAATTTAAATTAATATGGTTAACAAAAAGACCAACACCATAAACAGCAAGAACAATAGGTCCATTTGTATATTATATGAATTTGATATCATATATTTCGATCTTTATCAATAGTGGATTACTATCTTATAGTAATTAAGATGTATTTACTGAGATTAATAGCTTTACTTTATTTGTTATTTTGATGATCTCATTTTTTTTGTTCAAATTTGTTACTGATATAATATATGGTAATACTGATAGTTCTGCTGAATTAGTAAGAAAAAGACACTAATTAATATAAAAAAAGTTGCATGTAAGTGTAAGAGGAAAGAATTAAATAAGTTCGAAATTACCATTTCCAATAGCTAAGATATATGGAACTCTTTTACCTCATTAATTGAAAAAGCAAGAATGATTATAATTAAATATCTAATGATTTAGAAATTTTAGAAATATTTTTAACCATAAATATATATATATAAAAGAGAAAGAATTAATTAAAATGTAAAATTGATTTCATAACCCATAGTAAATAATTAATTAATTGATTTGCTCATTGATGAGCATCATCTCTACTTCTATAGGTTTAAGTTCTAATCTAAGTTTATCAGTAACATCTTTAAAGATACTAACCAGTTATTATATATCTATATTTTTTGGCAATTGAAGTACTATTTTACTAGTCATCTATAGTCCTTTTGTCAATAAATCTTCTAGAGATGGTTTCATACTATTAAGATCATATGGTTAATGTGAGTAATTCAATCCACCCCTATTTTTAATGGACATAATACCATGGTGGACACATAATGAGAATGAAATCTTAATTAGTATGAGTATACTCGAGAAAATTCATTTAGATAACAAATGCTATGGATTCATACACTTACAAATTATTTGTAATATTATTGATCTTTCTGAATTTATAAATATTGAATTTTACATTGGATCAATATCTATACAAATCACTGTTTTAAAACATTTTGCTAATTGTATAGCTAAACCTCCAGAACCACAAAATCCATCTATAACATCAGAATCTGGAGAACAACTTTTCAATTTATTTGCAATATGAATGCTCATCTCCTTTATTTATTATACAAAATTCTACCTCTGGTATCACAGAATACCAAGATTCTTCATCTAATTATATACCCTCATTGAACTTTTTAAAAAGAAAGAACCGCTTACGATAGAACTTTTAAATCTATTTTGGTATGTCTATTGATATTCCTGGATGTAATTGACAAGTAAAGTTCTTTTTTGTGATCTTTAACTTCAAACTATCCAAAGAAAAGAACTCATTCAATGGATATCCCAAAATAGATAATTTGCGATGCACTACTTTCTAAGTCTCAATCATTTTATTATTATATATCATTTTATAATCATTCCACCCCCTACAATATTATTTTAACGAATATTTTTCTATTCATGTCAACATCTACCCAAAACACTTAGTCATTTAAGTTTCGATCCAAAATAAGGTATCTATTCTAATCACAACACCAAAAGTTTCTTTTAGGAGACTCAATAGCCAACCAAAATTATCAAACATTATAAAGAAGAACTCAAAAATATATTAGATTATCTTTAAGAACGAGCAACTCTTATTCCCATATCAAAACCAAATTAAACTATACTCTACATCCAAACCTATTACAAAATTGGTTACAAAAGCACATTTTGTGATGAAACCAAAGACCACTTTGAAAATTTAATTGAAGAAATTAAATTAAATATATTCAAAAAGTAATCATCATTATATTTATTATTTAGATATCCATTTATATCTATTATACATGAAAAACTTAAATAACATACTTAACATTACATTCATATATAATTTTAATAATAAAATGATAATCAACTTGTATTATATTCAAAACAATATTCCAAAGAATAATTAACACCTAAATTAATATGTGATCTTATTTGGATTTCTTTACATAAATTCAATCTTACAATCAATCTTGATTGCATTAATAAATATATTTAATCTTTAAAAGAAGATCAAAATTCATAAAATAATATCTTAGATGGAATTAAAATTACCATTCGTTAAAAAGAATCTAATTAAATTGAAAAAAATTCAACTCCAAAAAGATCAACACAAAATCTTCATTCAATTTTTAATAGCATGTCTAAAACTGAAACTCATAAACCATAAGATACATAAATTAAATCATATTATTCTCCTATTAAATCACAAACTATAATCAATCAAAATGTAATTAGATTATTTTCACAAACCTAAATTGTTAATTCAAATAATTAAGCTTAATTTAATGATTTAATATCAAATATCAATTATGAAGTTGAAGTAACTGGTAATTAAATTTAATCCGTTAAATAAGTTTTAAATCTTTAACAAATATATCAAGAGAATTAAGATCATGCTAATGTTTCAATTACTCTTAATAGAAGTGATCTAATCAAATGTATCATTAAAGCACCTGAGGATTCTAATGTTAATGTCTTCATTAACAATAATAATAGTAAAGTTCTATCTTATGATTATATTTAATCAGCATACATATTTTATGGTAAACAATAGGAAGAATATACAGTTGAAGTTATTAAAAAAGACTATTTTGAATAAAGACGTTCAATTTTTTTATAAGGAAATTCAGATGTTATAATTCAATTTGATTTAATAAGTTAAGTATAAACAACCATGAAATTTAGAGTATATGATTTAATACAATAAGATGAAAATAATCAAATAGATAATTGTAAATTAGAAATTACTAAAATTAATACATCAAATGAAGAACCTTTTATTGATATGACTAATGATTAAGGCATTTTTATATGTCAAGGAGTTATGTTCAATAAAATCAAAGTTTAAGCCTCTAAAAAAGGTTTTCTAAATATATCATATGAATTCGATGTTAATGCAAATAAAGCTGGAGAATTTTATTAAATTCCTATGATTCCTGATTATTATAGTTTGATCAACTAATATCATATTCTAATTTATATACCAAATTCTAATAATTATTAGTTAGATTTTAATTTGATTTGTTCAGGTATTTAATATATTTAACTATTTAGATGGTATTAAATTAAATACCAAAAATAGAGTTCATCAAAATATGAAATCAAAATTGGATATCAAAAAACTAAATTAAAATAGTATGTTATATAATTTTTCTCTGCATATCTCTTGTTTAAATCCATTCGTAAATAATAATCAATTTTAATTCATGATTGCCAATTAACTTAATAAAAGGAAATCACTGAATGCAAATAATGAAGGAATAATTAAGGAGAATAATACTATTAATTATTTGGCAGATGTTGCTAGTTAACGTATAATGAATTATGCAATTGAAGAATCGATTAGAATTTTCATTACTTATGGACATTTGGTTATTGATACATAAGTTGTATCAACTAATTAATTATTATAATAAGAAAAATGCTTTGGAATCATTGATTGTATATTTTTATATTATAGTAGTGGATAAGAGACATTTTGTAAAAGAAAATGAAGTTATATAGCAAACAAAGAAATAATAAAATATGAAAAAAATAAATTCCTCATTCGATATGACTACAATTTTATCATAAATTACTAATCAATAAGTTAATAAATGAATGATTCACAATTTTGTTAATTATAAAGATAAAATATAAATATCATAGATCTATTTTATAGTTTCAACAAGTTATCTAATAATAAATCTTAAATAAGATTAAAAATAATTAATTAATATCATTTATGGCCTCTGACTTTAACTACTTTTTCCATAACTAGACTAGCAAATCTTACTAACTCTTCTACATAATAAACAGAGAGATCATTAATATAATTGCATTCTAATAATGTTTACTAAATTTCTTTGATTTTATGAAATGGCAACACTTAACCTATTGTGTTATTACTTTATCTTTAAGCACTATTATGCAAACTATTGTTGCCACTACCATGTAAACTTCCATGCACACTGTTTCTGATGCTTGACATCTTTCTTTTTAATTACGATTATCTCATTTATGATCTAGGTCTACTTTATACTTCTTGTTTAATCGAATTTCTAAATTTGTTTAATTCAAAAAACATGTCCATTATTAATTAAAATATATATATTTATTTCTGTTAAATATTAATTAATTGGAAATGTGGAAAATTAGATATATCATTATTTCTTTGCTAATTTAGGTAAATATTAATGTTCCTGAATAATTTTCATTAAACCTGCAGGTTTCTCAACACTTAATTACATAGATGAATCTTTCTTTTAATATTCATACTTTGATCTTCTTAAATAACTACTAGAATTTCTTTCATTGGAGGAGTTTTTCCTTAGAACACATACTTCATCCTGTCTTTAATTGCCATTTATAATAGGTAATTTTTAAGATTAGTGCTATTTATTAAGTGATTGGATCACATCTTTGCCATAATAATTAGACTTGATTTAAATTTAAGAATCAATTCTATCCTTAGAAACACATTTACTAGAGATTCTATTTAATAATTTACGGTTGTTATATGGGATCATATTTCTCTTGTTTTTCATGTGTAGAATTTGATACTCGTATTCTTCGGTTGATTGGCAATACATTTTCTTAGATTGTCTATTTTGATATGGATTTATTTAAATTTTAATTGAGATTTTTTGGAATTTTCTCAATTTCTCTTTGATCTAAATGTGTCATTTATTTCATAAATTAATGTAAAGCTTCATTTGGTTAATTTAAAACAATCGAATCATTTGTATCTTAAGATCTAATCCTATTAGATTATTGATTTCTTTTAATATGATTAGAATTGTGTTAATTTAAATAATTGCTTCCAGGTAATTAACAATTTAAATTCACCAATTCAGATTTATTTACTTGCAAACCTTTTCTAGCAATTGGCCATTTTATTGTCTTCAATAAATCATTCTCTATCTCATCAGAAATCAAAGGAATCCCATATTATTTAGCTTTCTTCTAAAGTAAAGAATGTTGAAGTAGATTATCTTGACAATAATAAAAATCTAAAGATTACCACAATCAGGACGATTAGAAGGTTAGACTTACATCATACTTTTTATCAATTATACTAATTCTTATGAATAGATAATAGGGATTGGTTAATATTATCCTTTTAGAACTTATTTATATAATCCATTCATGTCCTTTGCTCTAAAGGGTCTAATCATAACATTTAAAAATGAAATACGGTTTCAAGGCACATGTCTCATAAATGACACATCCTAATGACCAGATATCTGCCTTATGATCATAAGGTTTGTCTTACCAAACCTCTGGACTAGCATAATATGGAGTACCAGTTTAGGTATATACAAGTCCATTCTTAGCCAACTTAGACACATTAAAATCTCCAAGTTTAACTTAATTATTCTCATATAAAAAGATATTAGCACATTTTAAATCTCTATGTAATATTTTTTTATGATGCAATGCTCTCAAACCTTATAACACCTATATTGCAAGTTGCCATATCTCTTACTCTGGAATCATTTATTATTTTTTAACCTATCTTTATATCTTCTATAATAAATCTCCTCCTTCAGCATACTCCATTATTATACTTTATTAAAAAAAGTGCAATACCATAAATTATTATCCTCAATAAAGCATTCCTTATATGAAACTACATTATCATGATGAATTGATGCTATAAACCTAACTTCATTCAATGCATTTTGTTTCTCTCTATCTCCAATATCCATCAATTTCACCTATACCTATAAATCACTCTAAATACTTTCTTTAAAGCATAGACTTTCCCATCTGACTTCCTCTGTACTTTGTACACAGATGAATAAGCTCCAGAACCTACAACATCAATCATAATTTATAACCTAATTTCTTATGGATCTCAAAATTTTATAGTTTACTTTCCATTATTTATTTTTAATTATATAATTCTTATAATCAAAAAGGAAATTCTTTTGTTTATTTTTTCAGCATTCTTATGTTTCTTTCTTATATCTCTTATCTTTTATTGATTTATCTACTTTCTTCTAATAATATTAAATTTGTTATTAAAATTTAATGAATTAGAAAATTGTGATGAGAAATGAAGACTAGGAAGTTGAAGTGTCTGGGACAGAATAAGTATTTAATCAATTTATGTTTAGCCAGTTGAAATATAGTAAGAGACCATTAAAGTAAATGAAGCTCATATTGATATAATTGTAAAAGAATTTGATGTTGATCGATTTTAAGCAACAAGATGGTTAAAAAAGAATGATGGAGATTTACAAAAAACTATTAAGTGGATAATTAGTAATTGAATTAATTATTTATTAATTGAGATCTATGTAATGTTAATATATATTATATCAATAAAAAAAGTAAATAATAGATTATTATCCTTCAAAAATTAAGATATATTATTGTATATCAATAATTATTGCTATCGATTGTTAGTAATTAGAAATATCTATCTATTCTTAATTTATAAAATAGCACTTAATAATTTTAATGTTAGCATAGATAAAAATAATCAAACCTTATATTCCAAAATCAACTAAGTGTAATATTGTATTTAGATGTTTGGGGATAGAAGGTTTTATTATAAATCAAAAAATAATCTTGATTTTAAAATAACAAGGAAGATTGTTAATAAAATATCATAAAAATTGTATGATCATACAAAAAATTTTTTGGTTAGGCCATTCGAGGAGAATTCTTTCATTATAATTTATTTATTTGAGAAGTTCTAAGCAAATGTAAAATCGAGGCCTCTATTTTAACATTCAGATGTCTCTACTCTTGGTTTTTATTTTTTTTCATTTCGAGGAATTTATTATGAGAATAATTATTATTTTGTATCTTTTAGGTTTTATATAACTCTTTTAGGTCTGATTAGAATATCTTCATTTTCTACTCTATGTAATTCAATCATAGATGCTTTCCTTATTATTTATTTTAATGGTTTATTTATTGGAGATAAGTCTGGACTCTAGGTAATTTATGATGTCATAGTTGGTGTATGTATTTTTTTTAATTATTATTAGGAGGGCATTTTCTGAGATTTTCGCATTTATTAATTAATTAATGATGAAAACAGTACTTCTTATTATTTGCTTGGCTTCAATAATTCATAGTTCGAAAGTACCAGAAAACTTAGAAGAAATTTAAATGAGAGTCGATAGAACAGTCAAATAAATCGAATAATCTGCTGAAGTAATTAAAAAACGAATTCTTGAATAGGAAATTGAATCAACCCAAAAGAATCAAGAAACAGAAGATATTAATAATTAAGTGAAAGTAAATGTAGAGTAAAGTGAAAATCAATAGGAAATTAATATCCAATAAGATATTGAACAAGAAAATATTCAATCATAATAAACTAATAATGATGATGTTGTATCTTAAGTTGAAACAATCATAACTTCTGATAATAATGAGAATATCAATTAAAATAATGAATCTTAGGAGAGTTAAACTTAAGATTCTAACAAGGAAGAATAATAAGAAGATGATTTATGCATCTCTTAAAATTGTTCATAGCAGAATGAATAAAATGATAATACACAAGAACAATAGAATTAATAATCAAATGAGGATTAGTAAAACGAAAATGATTTAGAAGTAAATTAAATTCCATAAGATGATGGAAAAATAGAAGAAGTGATATTAAATGATGAAAAGAAGGAATAAGAAATCTAAGTAGATTAAATTAAAGTGGAATAAGAATAAGTATAAGAATAAGAATAAGTATAAGAATAAGAATAAGAATAAGAATAAGAATAAGAATAAGAATAAGAATAAGAATAAGAATAAGAATAAGAATAAGAATAAGAATAAGAATAAGAATAAGAATAAGAATAAGAATAAGAATAAGAATAAGAATAAGAATAAGAATAAGAATAAGAATAAGAATAAGAATAAGAATAAGAATAAGAATAAGAATAAGAATAAGAATAAGAATAAGAATAAGAATAAGAATAAGAATAAGAATAAGAATAAGAATAAGAATAAGAATAAGAATAAGAATAAGAATAAGAATAAGAATAAGAATAAGAATAAGAATAAGAATAAGAATAAGAATAAGAATAAGAATAAGAATAAGAATAAGAATAAGAATAAGAATAAGAATAAGAATAAGAATAAGAATAAGAATAAGAATAAGAATAAGAATAAGAATAAGAATAAGAATAAGAATAAGAATAAGAATAAGAATAAGAATAAGAATAAGAATAAGAATAAGAATAAGAATAAGAATAAGAATAAGAATAAGAATAAGAATAAGAATAAGAATAAGAATAAGAATAAGAATAAGAATAAGAATAAGAATAAGAATAAGAATAAGAATAAGAATAAGAATAAGAATAAGAATAAGAATAAGAATAAGAATAAGAATAAGAATAAGAATAAGAATAAGAATAAGAATAAGAATAAGAATAAGAATAAGAATAAGAATAAGAATAAGAATAAGAATAAGAATAAGAATAAGAATAAGAATAAGAATAAGTATATGAATAAGTAAAAGAATAAGTATATAAATAAGAATAAGAAATTTAAGTAGATTAAGTTAGAGTGGAAGAATAAGAATAAGAAATTAATAATGTTTAAGATAATGAATAAACATAAGAGTAACATTAACATCATGAACATATACATGCAGAAAATGTTGAACATGTACATACTCATGAACATCATGATCATACTCAACACAATACACATGATCATATTAATTAACATGCCAATGATCATACACATGAACATGAACATGAACATAACCATGATCATACACACCATCATACACATGAACATACTCATGATCATACACATCATTATCATTATTAATATGAAGAATAAACTCATACAAGTTAAAATTTATAAAACGGATGGTAAGTTCAATTAAGTTTTGTTCCTAATTTTTGTGAGATTAAGTAAAAAATTATAAACTTTTAAAATCAATTACCAACATTATTAGGAAAATATCTTCCTAATTCAAAATAAGATTAAGTAAATTATAGTGTTTTAATTGTGTCATTCCCTTCATTACCTATATTTTTATTGCTTTTGATTGTAATAATTCAATATTATATTATAGACTGTTGGAATTAGAAATAGAGGAACAACAATTTAATATATGATAGCATTTTCATTTGGAACTATGTTAGGAGATGTATTTTTCCATATGTTACCATAAATCTTAGGAACTCATTCCCATTCTCATGATCATCATAATCATGATCATCATGAACATGAGCATGATAATCCTTAAATTTGCTTAATTTTAGGTGGTGTCTTATTATTTGCATTTGTTGATTTATTTATTATTAAATTGAAAAATTTGAGAGGAAAAAGAGATGAATCTCATGATCATGAACACAATAACTCAATTATTGTATTTTTATTTGGAGACTTTCTTCACAACTTTACAGATGGTATTGCATTAGCAGCAACTTATTCTATCAGTTTAGCATCTGGAATTACAACTACAATTGCTATATTTATGCATGAAATTCCTCATGAAGTTGGTGATTTTGCATATTTATTAAAATAAGGTAAATGTGTTTTCGTTATTCTATCAACTTAAATCTTCACTTCTATAGGATGTTTAGCAGGAGGATATGTTGGTAATTTGTATTTTTTAATTTAGGATTACACTTTGCTTAGACCTTTTAATAAGAACTATTATGTCTAACTTGTGGAAGTTTCCTCTATGTAGCATTAGTTAATATCTTACCAGAATTGAAATAATCATTTTCATATAGACCTAAATTAGAAAGATTGATCATTAATCTAATTTCTATTGCAGCTGGTTTATATTTAATGAAGTTTGTAGGATAATTAGAATGATTTGTAAAGTATAAATATTAAAAATCAAAAAATATTTCATTTTTATTTTTAAATATAATTCTTTATCTTTTTTATATATAAATTAGAATACTATATGAGAATCTGTTATACTCTTTATTTTTATTGAATTTGTTAATAAATTATGATTTCAATTTAAAAATTTATTAAAAGTGACTAATTATATTTTTAAGTCTACTTCTTGTGTGTTAATTCACTTACTTAATCTTGATCTCTGAAACTATTTTAATATTTTTATTTTAAGTTCTCTTAATCATACTTATTCTTTTATATTAAAAAATAACAGATATCTATAATAACCTTTTTAAATTCTTTTATAAATAGGAGGGTAATAATAATAGCTAAGCATAGTAGTTATATATTTTTATGTAAAACAATTCAATAAGAACAGCCATTCGAATAGAAGATTCTAATTTTTTAATTTTAAAAGTCAAATAAATAGAGAATAAAATAAAATTATTAAAAAGAATAAAAATAGTAAATGTATTTATTTATCTTTGAATAAATCAATACTTACAGATCTTAATTACAGATTTATAATTATTTTGGATTTGCTAATATTTTAAGAGTTATTTTTATAAACTTGATTGGAAATATATAATTTATAAAGATACTCAGAAATAGAAAATTAATTAGCAAATATGTCTTTGGTTAATTGTCAATTATAAATTCTAACTTTATTCAAGGACTATTAATATTCTAAATTAAATTATAATTATAATGTCATCAATTAAAGAAAACATTGAAAATGAACAACCTCAAACGAGTGTATTTTATTCTTTACGTCATGATCAAGAATAGAGTAATAGTTTTCACAGTTTAGAAGATGATCTTAATGAGAAAATAGATGCAACTTCAATTAATGTAGAAATGCAGATTGTGAATAATTGCTAATCATAAGATTCTCCAATCTCCACCCAAAAAAGTCAAGAGATATAATAATCAATTGTTTAATTAAGGCTTTTGGGTAGAGAAGTTAAAGAGCAGAAGCCTTCCTTTAAAAAAGAAATTGTTCCTATTAATATCACATTTTTGTATTTGGAATATATAACTAATAATCCAGGAATGAAAATCTGGTTATTGTCAAATATCTTATTGGATATTTGTTTAAGAATACTAATATTAGTATTTTTTTGTATAGGAACTGTGTCAGAAGAAAAGTATATAGATCTTTAAAAAGATAAGAAACTTACAGCTTATTTTATAATGTTTATTTAGATACCTAGAATTTTACATTTACTTACTACATCTAAATTGATTTTTATGGATAAATATAATCTCAAAAATAGATCTTATCTTCCAATGAGTTATGTATTTAGAGCCAATTTCATTTAAGAGATTTGTCCTCGTTAAGAAGATCTCAAACCAATTAATTATAAGGACAATATATTATCAATTAGAACAATTATGTTTATTATATTACCAATTGAATTTTAGTGGATTCCTATGTATCCATTTAAAAATAGAAATAATTCTGAAAATACAATAATTATTAGTAGTTATATTCTAAAAAGCATAGAAGTCATGATATTTGAACCAACTCTATTAATTATAATTTCATTAAAACTAGAAAAATTGCTAACTTATACTAGATTGCTTTTTGGACTTATACTTTTAGATATTATAAAATTTGTAATCCTTAATTTATGTTTAATTATCTTTAGCAATGTTGGAAAAAATTCTAAAGTAAAAATATGATAATTTATTCTACTTTCTTAATTTATATTACAATATCAATCATATTTATAATATTATAATTATTAAATGGAAGTAAACTAAACAAGAAATACCATTTCATCTGAAACTGATATTCTAATCAAATCAAATGAAATGTATCTCCATTCAGATGGATTCTATCCTTAGTCTGTCAATTTAGAGTAATAAACTATTAAATGATTTAGATCCAAAATAATCCTTTTAGACACGTTATTTAATTTGTATTCTGTTTAACATGAAAATCTTGACATTTAGATATTAAAAGATGAAATAATCTAATTCAATAAAGAGATAATTATAAAGCAACAGAAATCTGGCAAATATTTATAAGCAATATATATTAAAGATAAATGGACTTTATAATTAACAGAAGAACTTGATAAAACATGCTTATTTACTATATAACCTTGTTTTAAATCATAAATTATTGTAACCTTTCATCTATCATTATTAGAATCAAAATTGCGTCACTTTATACAATGAAGTCCACATTAGTTTATCTCCCAATAATGATGCTTAAGGAGATACATAAGATTGCTATTTGACTTGGGATTCAAAATAAATTACATTTACTAGCGAAGTTCATCTAGCCACAAATTTCATATTTGAAACAATCAATAAGGCTATAAATAAATTATATTATGGTTCTTTAATTAAAATAAAGTTAATCGAAAAGAATGCTTATTTAGTGATGACTACAAAAAGATCTGCCTTAATATAAACAAAAAATCTAATCAATTAATCAAATGCTGATATTTAATATGATGCTTTATTCTCAAATAATTTAATAGTTACTTGGTAAGAATAAGAATAAATATCTGAATTTGATTTATGGAGAATATATCATCCTCAAAAAGCCTATTAATAAATTAATTAGAATGATTCATTTTATATATAAAATGTTGCAAGCAATTAATACATTTCATAGTCTAAAATAGTAAATAATTTTGAAGAAGCATCTCTTTTTTAATTCTAAGAAATAAATGCTAATAATAATTTTATTAGTGGATTTATTATTTATTAAGATAAATATTTCAGTTCTTCACTTTTACAACAATAAAATTCTTTATTTTATTAATTAGAATACAAATAATAATATACTAAAGAAGATTAATTATTATTGGAAGTATAAAGTAATACAAATCAAATCTAAATCAATTGGCTTCATAGTACAGTCAATAGAATTCAAAATGTTATCAATATTTTTACATAAAATAAAGAATTAATATAATAATCTATTAGATCTAATTAATAAATTAATTCTAAATTTGAAACTATTTATGAATTATTCAATTAACTCATTCAAATTTTATCTGATTTGATTTGTTTTTGTTTAGAAAATGGATTTACATTAAAAGTTATTGATAGAAATTCTATATTCAATTCAAGAAAAAATAAAAGAAATCAAGATTTACTTAAAAGATATTATATCATCTAATATTTAAATTAATTATTAGAACTTATCTCTTGGGATGATTAATTAACTTAATTATCTGATGATGTTGATTTTCTCCTTTCAGAAGAATAAGAATAAAGTTTAAGATTGAGAAATTAAATTAAAAAAGTGATTAAGACTATATTTTTATTTTTCTCTGCTTTTGGTGCATATAATGAATAAAATGGTCTCTTTATATTATATAGCTATTCAAAACTTCTCTAGCTTCTTGGATGTCATATAGGAGCATTTGATTGTTTAATCTAAATATTTTCAACTAATTAAATACTTATTCCTATTGCATCATCTCTATATTTTAATTAATCAACAAATTAACTTTAAAAGAATGAAATTACACTTATAGATTTGATATTTAAAAGGGGTTAATATTTATATGAGTCTAAAATTAGATCATTTTGGTCAAATATCCCTAAATTTCTTTAAATTATTTGTTTCTAAAATGATGTTCCATATAAAAATAATCAAAAAGCCATAGGTTTAAATTTAAGAGCTGATTCAATAATTTTTTCAAAACTTTTTGTACATAAAGAAGATTAATTATTTTATTTAAAGATAGATGATATATTAATTGAATTAAATCAAATTTATTAGAGTGGCATTAAGAATAATTTAGAGATGATTTAAGATTTATAATAATGTAAAAAGTTTATTGATGAGTATTTAAATTTAGTTGGTTCTCTTTGCCAAAATAGAAATGTATTAAATATAATATATTTTAAAAATATTTTCCCTAAATAACATCTCATTACATATGTAAGTAATCTTAAGAATGATGATTATCTTAGATGCAAATTGATAGCTATTTTAATTAATTTGTATATAGATTTTCATCCATTTTATAAAATCTAGATTCCAAAATTAATATTTAAATGTTACAAATAATAAAATGATGAAGATTTTGATGAAGAATTATTATAAATAAATAAATAATAAATTAATGATGAAGATATTAAATTTATAGAAAGTATTTAAATAATAGTATAGGATTATCTAAAAAAAAATTTAATCTAATAAAATAAAGTTAATTTATGTATTAGAAATTATTAAATGTTGAATATGTATTTATAATTACTAAGTTTTAAATTGCCTACTTAAAATTAATAATTAAATAGAATTAATAATAATAATAATAATAATAATAATAATAATAATAATAATAATAATAATAATAATAGTTTTATAGATCCAAAATTTCACCTTTATTTTGAATTCTTAATTTTAGCATTTTCAATTCTTCCAGATTCAATATCTGAGAAATCTCCAAATTAAGATTTATTATAATAATTTGAATAATTTTCTGAAGATAGAAATGTTTTTAATCTTTTAACTAAGTGTTTCATTGAATTTGTATAATATTTATCAGAAATATTTGAAAAAGAAATCATCTAAAAATGTTTAAATAATAATAATGATTAAAATTATAAGAATAAAATTAAATTAAATTTTAATATCCCAGTATAATATGTTGATATATCTAATACTCTATTGAAGATATTATCTCATAAATAATTAGCATCTTAAATCAAAATTAAGATTTTTAATTTAATTGATAAACTTTATTAACCCAAGAAAGCTATATTATTAAGATTTGAATAATGTATGATTTTGGAAAAGTAAATTGAAATAGATATATGTAAAGAAATTGAAGAAATTAATTATAAGTTATTATCATTATTATATAATGACAATATTAAGCAATAATATTAAAATCTTATTCAAATTTTGAAGAATTTCAATTAAAAACTAGATAATTCTGAATATTTATTAATATCATAAAGAATAATTAGGATTTTAAATCTTGATTAAACTATCTTTGATATTCTTATTAATTTTATTTAATAATGTAAAAATATAACTATAAGATTGTAAAATAGTGTTGGAAATTATAATAATTAAGATGAAGATATTATTTAATTATGTCAAGAATTATTTAATTTTCTGAGGATAACTTGTAAAAATAATTATTAAAATAAATTAAAAATAATGAAATAATTTGATGTAATTGAATAATATTTTACAATTATTGATTTAGGATAATTTAATCTACTTATTACTATTTATGATAATTCTTTTGATTTAATTGATTATATAAGTCCTAAAACTATATATTTATTATTTGAAAATATATGTTTTGGAACTATAAGAATACTTCAATGTATATTATGTTAATAAAATATAATCTCACATAAAAATCTTGTACTAATATTTCAATAAATATCATTAAGATCATAATTTAATGAGATAATAGGTTTAGGATAATAAAACTTTTATAAGTTATTTACAATTGATTAACAATAATCTATATAAACATTAATGTTATTAGGAAAAGCACCTTATATATTATAAATTTAAGGGTATAAATTTTTAATTAATTTAATATAATTATTTATATCAACTGGACAAAGCAATTAAAATGAGATTTATTAAAATTTTAGAGTGTAATAATAAAAAGAGCATAATCATAATTAAATATAATCTAATAATAATAAACTTCATCATAATTTACTATAAAATTGTTTTTCTTATGTTAATTTATTTAGATTGATTTTTGCTTTAGAAGATATATTTTCAATTTAAATAAGAAATTGGTAAATAGATTCTTCATAAATTTAATAAAAAAAAGATTTAAATTAAATATTCTTAAATACAATATTGAAATATCAATTATTAAAATTTCTAAATCTACTTTTAACTTAAAGTGAATTCTCTAATTATGATGATGAATATATTGAACTTGTTAAGATGTTTATTAACAATGAAAAAAAACTTTTTAATATATAAATTATGTCCATTGACTATAAAATATATATTGAAAATATTGAATCTCAAAATAAATTGAAAATGCTCTCTAAATTATATAAAGATCATCATAATGTTTAATAGAGTGATTTTTAGGAGATTTCTGAATATTTGATTAATGAATATTTTGAATGCTTTATATTCAATAATTATTGTATTTTACTTTTTGATTTAAGTTTAAATTTAGCTTAGAAATTATCAGAGTATATTGATACTTTTGAAGATTCATCTACAAAATCTAAATCAAATCGAAATTCATCAACTTTGATATTTAAGAAGAAAAGTCAATCTATATCTCTTATAGAATTTGGAACAAATGAATTAAATAATATATCATAAAAATTAAGTCCATTTAATGAACTTAAAGTTTAAATGGATGATCTCATTTATTCAATTGAATAACACTTAAATGATAAACTTACAAAAGATGAAATAAAAGAGAATTAAAATTTATTATATTTAAAATAATAATAATTAAAATTACTTTATTTAAGATAATTAGATTTTAAAGGTTTCAAATTTGAGATGTAAAAAATAAATAAGAATAATCTTAATTAAGATTAATATCTAAATCCAGAATATTTTAATGATTCAAGAATTCATGAAATTATAAAAATTTAAGGATTACTTGATAGTAATATTATAAAAAGTGTTATAGAAACCTTAACAAATACACATTAAGATTAAGCAGAAGAAAACTTTTAGATGTTTAAGTAAATTTATTAAAGATTATAATTGATGAATTAAAATTATGAAATTTTAATTGAAAATTTTCATAAAATTATCTTACCATTAGTTAGAATCTTAAAATAAAGTTTAAATAATCTAATTAGTAATTATTAAGGAGTATTAAATATTCTTGAGTTCTTTTGGTAACTTTTAGATATTCATACTTACATTAGAGCAGATTATGAGTAAACAGTTTAATTATATGTAATGAATTAGAAGGATATTTATAAAAGTTAGAGTGAATAAATTTTATAAAACAAGGCTATCAAATAAATACAAAATTTAATATGTAATGAAGGATTTTTTGAGATTTTAATATAATTTTGTGATTCTTATCAAAATTTAAGAGTTATTCCTTTTACAGAACTTGGATTTATAAATTAAGATTTAAAAGATTAATTATATTATAAATTTTTATTAGTATCAACAAAATTGATTAGAGGATAAGAATAAGCAAATAAGATGGCATAAGATAAAATTATTACTGTAATGAAAAATACTTAAAGTAATTCATTATTGAAAATATTTTGTTTGAATTTTAATTGTTTGTAAAAATTAAATGATACTCAAAAAATGAGAAATGAAATTATACAAAATCTTAATCGTGTTTTATTATCTTATGAATTCAATTAAACTCATAGACTTGAAAGAAAAAATAATTCATAAAAATTAGGGATTATTAATATATAAATTAGATTTTTATAATTAATAGCTGAAGATCACTTTAGACCAGCTTAAGATTTTTTAAGGATTTAAGAAGGATTCTCATAAAATTATGATATGTTATAATAATTGTAAGATATATTATTCAATCATTTTAATTAAGAAACATTCATTAATCTTAGTTTTGATGATTATATATTAATAGTTGGATGTTTTGATTGTATAAAGGAATTAATTTAAGGACCATGTCATGAAAATTAAATGAAAATATGTTCAATATAATTCTTAAAATTATGCTTTAAACTTCTCAATTTTGATGATTCTCATGCAAAATTTACAGCTATTTATAAAATTTTAACTAAAGATCATTAATAATTATAAACTCGATCTCGAGAAAAAACCTAAAGTGAATTTAATAAATTTATAGTTAGTTAGAAAAAGACATAAATATAATAGGAATATGTAGAATATTATAAAAAATATCCAACATATTGCAAAAGGATATTATAATCATTTAGAAAAAGTAATAATATTAATTACAGATTGTTTATGCTGTCTGAAATTAAGTACAGATGTTCAACTACATTAGAATCTTTAACAGATGACTAATAAACTTCTTCTGAAACATTAGAAAAAATAAATAGCATAATTACTGAGAAATTAGTTATTAAAAATATTGCAATTTAATATGAAAAGTTTAAAATTCTCCATTCTTCTGGTAAAAATTATACAAATAAAATATTTTCTCATTTATTTGGGGATCAACAAAAATTATCAATTCTTAATTAAGAAATTATTTCAAATGAAGAAAAATTTTGGAATATTGAAGAGAATATAAATGTAGATGTGGCTATAAGAGATTTTTGTGATTCCTTTATTATTGAAACTGGATTTTCTCTATATAATGTTTTAGCATAAATCTTTTAACATAAAAATATGGATGTTTTAGAAAGAATTTATGAATAAATTGATTAAGAGAAATCATAAAAGAAATAGCTTAAATAATTGTTACTTTATAAATTATATCAGTCTTGGTTTTAATTGTAAAAAGTAACTGAAATGATTACTAAGTAATTATATTTATATTATATTAAATAGTAATGTTTTAAAAGGGAAATAAAAAGAAGCAATTAATGATAAAATATTCTTGAAAATTTATAATTCTAAGATAATTTAATAAGATAAAAATTTATTAAAATAAAACGAAAAAGAAAATAATAATGAAAAAGATAATGAAGCAGAAAAAGATTTTGATTAGAAGAAACTTGGCTATAGAGCATTAAGATTCTATGCAACTAGATCTGGATCAATAGAAATCATATTGCCATCAAAACAGATTAAGTAAATTATATTTCCACTTTTACCTCATTGTTTTTCTTTAAATAATTCAATTAAACAGAAGTTTAGTAAAGACATTGATAGAACAACTTAATAAACTAAAGTTGAATCAATACTTTATAATTCTAATAAAACAATTCAAAAATTAAAAACTGAATATTAATATCAATTATTGTATAAAAGACATTTTTTAGTTAATATGATAGCAGGTAATTAAGAGATTTGGAAATAAATTATATTTTATGTAATTGTTATGTAGAATATTATGATATTATTAACAAATAATGGAAAATATGATCATGTACTTGATGATTTTTTGTTGGCCTTAAATATTTTATAAATAATTTTATAATTTGTTTGCTTTTTCATTTTTATTATAAGAAAATTACCTTATTTAAGAATAAAAGCTTAAGAGATTGTAATAGAAAGATAAATAAATAGAATAAGAAAAAGAGAAATAAAATATAAATATTTAGATAATTCATAAAGTGTTGTATTATAGGAAGATTTTATTTTAGAAAAAACAGATGAATTTTTATTAGAATAAAATAAATTTGTAAGATTTTATTAAAATGTTACTGATAGGTTAGTTTTATTTAAATATATATTTTTTGATTATGAAATGATCTATTTTTTAATATTTACTTCTATAGCTATTTCAGGATTATTTACAAAAACATTATTAGCATTACTTTTACTTGATGTATTTTGGAGATTTCCAGTGCTAACAGCAATGATAAACGTAAGGAATTTTAATTTTAAATTAATAGTCCGTTTGGCGCCCAATAATATAAATTTTACTTACATTGGCTCTTTTTTTCATACTTTAGTATTATTATTCTTTACTAATTTATGATTTCTACTCTGAAGACACTAACTATACTCCATATTGTTAAAGCTTGTTACAATGCTTTTCGTTCATTCTGGATGTAACATTTAAAAAGGATAGTGGGTCTGCAGGGTATGTTGCAGCGTCTAATGGTATTAGTTCCACTTATGCAAATCCTGATTTCCGCTTTGGCATACTAAACTTTTGGGAATTCTGTTATTATTTCTTTGTAATCAGTTTAACCTATTCCATCTTCACTGGATTGATCTTAGATTCATTTGGAGCTGATAGAGAAGAAGCAGAAGAACTTGAGACTGACATAAAGGAATTTTGTCTTGTTTGCGGTATAGACAAAGGAATAATAGAAAAGAAAACCAAACATAAAAAGGGATTCAGATTTCATGTGAAGAATGAACATTATGTTTGGAATTATATATTCTTTATTTCCTATATTTAAGGAAAAAAGAAATCTGAATATAATGGTATTGAAAGTTATGTGGATGAGGAATTAAAGAAGGAAAGTATTTCATGGTTTCCTATTAATAGATCATTATCAATTATTGAATAAGATGATGTGGTATCAAATATATAATAAATCATTTAGGATTAAATTGATGAAATGATAGATCAATAAATAATCATGATTTCTCAAACTATTGATGCCAAGTTACATTAAAGAGGTCTTAACAAAAACCTCAATTAGGGTTGAAATTAATTAGTAATTTATTTACCTTTATTAATATATTAATATATTATTAATCTTTTATTATTTTACTATTATTTTTTAGATTAGATATTTTGATTGATTGATACAAAAATTGATTTTTATATTTTGAGATAATGAAAGATTTTAAAGTTTGCTAATTTCATTTTTGTTAAATCATGTAAATCATTAACATCATTACTTTAAAAAATTGTAATTTGAATTTAATTATCATATATCTATTTAATATATTCAATGGTTTGAATAAAATTTGAGTAAGAATGCTATAAAATTGATTAATTAATATGTTATCAAAAAAATAGATTGATCTTGTTAATACTATAAATTTTAACTTAGATATTCAAACTAATAATCAAAAAACGTATATTTATGATTAATTTAGCATAATCATTTAAAAAATACTTTTGTGATAAGTTTTTGATTTTAAAAAATATAATTTTAAATAAAGTAAATTATATATCTATAATTAATATTAAAAGATTGGATTCCATTAATTATTGATATATATTTATTAACATAAATATTTCTTTCATTAACAATATGAATTTTATTATATATAATAACAATGATATTATTATTTATTTCTTTAAATAAACTATTTAAACTATTTATATTTTTTTTTTTTTATACATTATCCAATAATTATTTAATAAATTAGGCACTCTCTAATTTACTCTTTCTAAACTTCTAAAGTTATTTATACTAATAGATTTTTACTTTTTTTTAATTCCATAATTTATCTCTGACATTTTAACAAGTCTTTAACTCTCTATATATACTATGTTTTTATTTAAAACTTCTTGCAATTATTCATCATAGAAATTATATTATATAGAATCAAGATATTAATTTATATTATATTATAGAAATGATAAAAAGTATTAATTTCAAATATTCTTATAGAAATGAATATCATCTTTTTTTTTAGTATTATATTAATACCTTGAAAATCCTATATTTGTTAATCAGGTTTTAAATATACTTTAAATCATAAGGTATATACCACTTATTGTGTAAAATTGCTTATTTTTATTAAATAAGACTGGTAAGGATGGTAATTTTGTTTATTCGTTTAATAATATCTTCCTCATTTTTTGAAATTTTTACTTGTTTAACCAGAAGGTTCAATTTTTGAAGATGATTCTAATTTAATTTCTGTTTGATTGGACAATTTAATTAGTTCTTAAGAGGATTTAGTTTTAATTTCTTTTTGTAAAACAGGAAATCTTTTGTCTAATTTATTTTTGACAAAAATATAAATTATTCATAAACATAAAGATTAATAGATTTTTATTTTATTTAAAATTTTAACAATTTAGTAATTCTAATATTAGAATCGATAAAATATTATTTTTATATGGAAAAATAATACTATTCAAATATAACAATCAGAATAAAACCCTGAACCTTAAATTTAATTTGATGAATTTCAAATAAGACCAGCCATATTTGTTAAAATGAAATAGAGTTCTATTAGTAATTTTTATCACATAAAGCAAATAACTTGTATGAGATAGTATAAAATTTTAAGGGTATTTTCATATAAAAGTTCGATTAGCTATTCACTAAAGTACAGGATGTATAAGAGCAATAAAAAAAAGAGAAAAGATAAATATTTTCATTTTGATGGGGAAATTCTGTTTTCATAAGATAATATACTTAAAGATTTAGATCATCCTATCATAATGAAATTGTATATTATAGAATGAAAACACTATTATTTTTTAATAGGGTATGAGTTATAATTACAATTAGATTATTAGAAGGAGAAGATTTATATCAAGGATAAAGGAAACGAAATATGAGTAAATGGCTGCAGAAATTATGAAACAAATATTTAGTGCAATTATATATTGTCATGAAAATAATATTGTTCATGAGCATTTAGCAACAGAAAAAATTATTTTTGAAAATAAAAAACCAAATTCAAATGTGAAAAATATTGGCTTAGGATTTTCTTAAAAATTAGAAAAACAATCAAAATTTATTTTAAACATTCTGGAATGTATTATGATAATATATTTTATAAGCCCCATGTTATTGATTCTGAAATTATATTGGAAAATTATGGTTAAATATTTGAGTTTTGGAATTGTGGAATTATACTTTACATAATGTTATGTGGAGAAACACCATTTCATAGAAGATAGAAAGAAAAAAGATTTAGACAAACTAATATAGAGGTATCTAATTTCTATGGTATTATATATCATTAAGATTTATAGCTTGGTTATAGAGAAAGATTTGAGAAGAAGCAAATAATTTGGTTAAAAAGACGCTTATTTATGATCCTACTTAAAGAATTTCAGCTGAAGAAGCTTTAATGATCCATGGATTTAATAGAATGGCACCTAATGTTCCTATTGATTAGAATCCAATCTAAAATTTGTTTACTTTTGTTGTATTATTTTACTTTAATATAAAATTAAGGGCAAAAATATGTTGCGAACTGCATTTATGCAATTCATTTCAACTAATCTCATGACGAATTAAGAAAAAGAAGTGTTATATGAAAGGAATTCAAAAAAATAATAAGTTATGTTAGTAAAGATGAATTAATTTAAGGTTTCAAATAAAATTGCTATAGTCTACATTAAATAATATTAGAAAATCAAATCAAAACAAAAATGGTGGATGATATCTTTGAAGAAGTAGATACTAATAAATCTGGTTATATAAATTTTACAAAATTTATCACATCAACTTTTAATAAAAAAACAATAATGAAAAATATATATATTTAATCAATTTTAGGATGGAAATGCTTAAATAAGTAGAGATGATCTTTAAGAATCAATGTAAGGAATTGATGATAATTTTTAGAAGAAAATTTTAGTTATGTGTGATTCTAATTAAAAGAATTTATTGAATTTTTAGAATAAGGGGTATGAATGAATATGTAATGGATAATCAAATCAATTTTTATGAGTCCATCTTAATTAACAATTATTAAAAATAAATAGATATTAAGTTATAGTATTAATAAATTATTCATAAAAATAATAAATTTCTTATATAAAACAAAATTAATCCTTTAAATTATTATTAATTAATGTCATATTGTAGATTTGATATAATATAGATCTAATAATAATGATTAACACATCAAGTGTTATATTATCAGTAATCTATCTCTTTTAAGATTTTAAAGTATAAAATAATATAAATTATTTTATGGTCTTTCTAACTTTAAATCATAAATATAGGGGCTATTTTGTAATGAAATAAAAGAAAAATAATATCATCATATTGCTCTTCTATGTCGTTTATTTTTATAATGGTATTTTTAAATCTTTCGGTATTTACTAAGATGATGTTATAATCCTACATCTTCTCAACTTCGTTCTTTTTATTTTCTTATTCTAATTCATCTCCTTCAAATTACTCGCCTTCTGGAGTTTCTACTTCACCCTATTGATAGAAATCATCTTTAAATAAATTATCCATTTACACTCATCAAAATTATCTTGTTATTTTAACTCTATACCAATTTGGGCAACATGATGATACTAATCAAATAATACAAATTTTTTTACAACCTATAATTCTTATTTGGTATCTCTATTCTCCATATATTGTATAAATTAAATTAGAAATGATACCAAAAGCAATTTTAGAGTCTTCATAAGTAGGACTAATTAAAATGTCATTTATTATTGTTTTTAAGGCTCAAAGCCTTCATTTTGTTAATCTATATTAATATTTAATGTTTAAAATACATCTATCAAAATTGAATTTTTGGTTGTACAAGTTCAAACCACAAATAATCAAAGGATATTGATGAAAGAATACAAAGACATGATAATCTTTTTAATTCTCATAAGTTTTATTAAAATTCCTTTTCAAAGGTAAGAAATCCTATTATATTGATTTCTTTATTATCAAAAATTATATTCTATTTAGTAACTATTATTTATTAAGAGTTTTGAATAACATTATCCAATACATCTCTAAATTAAATGAATTCTATTTTATCAAATCAAAGTATTATAGCCTAAATTAAAATATGTAAAGTATGAGATCATCTCCTTATTTTTTTTGCATTGTTTTGATAAGATTACTCTTTGTTATCTATTAGCAAAATTTCACGTTCAATTTATTTTATTTTCAATACAAAATATAATAAACATAAAGAGTGTAACAAAAAAGTTGGATAATATTAAAAATAAGGAATATTTGATGTTAATTATGATTTAGATATAGTCATAAGACTTAAAATGTGATAAGAAAAAATCTTGGTATTTTTTGATATTCATTTATGTATATTATAAATAGTTGAAATAACCCTTAAAAAGTCTATTAACTACTCATTCAATCCTATTTATTGGATTGCTCATAAAACATTACAGACTTATGTGAAGATACAATTTATGGTTCAATTATAAGACATAAGTAATTGATAAGGTGAAAAAAAAAAAATTCATTGAGCATTTTTAACAGAAAAATTATATTTAATTTAAAATTAATTTAATATACATATAAAAAATGTTGGATTTATCTAAAAGAGAATTTACTAAACTTCCAGGAGAAATAGATGTAAATATTTTTGTTATGATTAATTAAGACATTTATTAAAGAACCAGACTATTATAATACATTAACTGCATGCAATTGCAAAACACAACTACTTTTGAGTTTTATGCATTTCAAAAAGCTTTAAGCCTTAGATTTATCAAATAATGAATTAGGAAGCTTTGTAAAGACAAACACATTATAGGGTTTATTTTTATTAAAAGTATTGATTTTAAAAAAAAATGGTATTACTTAAATAAATGATTAATTTTTTTCTACTGCAAAGAATATTGAGGTATAATTATTTTTGATGTGTTTTTTATTTAGATGTTAGATCTTTCAGAAAATAAAATAAGTAAATGTGGCAAATCATTTTTAGACTTACCTAAACTTATTACGTAAACTAAACTTATTAATTTAGACTTAATTTAAATAAAAATTAAATTGATGATTTAAATGCTTTTAAAATTTTTAAAACTAATCCTCTTTAAGAATTACAATATCTTGGAATTAGATAAAATAATATAGAATCGTATCCTATATATTATTTATTAATTTTAGAAATTATAGATCAAAATTTGAAACAACTTTAACAATATTCTTTCCAAATTTATAATTTGTTTTAACAATGTTCTCTCAATAAAGAGAATTAAATGCTTTTCATGAGATTCTATTTATTGATCATTATTTAGATCAAGCAGAAGTACCATTACATCAAAATTAAATTGAATGTTCTTTTCATAATGATTCTTTAATTGCTAATTGTATTGTTAGTTAAAATTAAACTTCTGCTAAAAAAAGCAAAAGATCAATTAATTCTTGTGATTCAAGATTTGGTTCATTTAAAAAAAGAGATCCAGAAACATTAAAAAGATAAATTGAATTTAGAAAAAAAGAATTAGAAAAATTAGATTAATCTATTGAATAAATCACTATTAAAAGGGATGAAATAAAAATTTTAACTTAAAAATATTAATACTTTTTATAAGATTGTAAAATAATTTATAAATTAATAGCACTTTAATTATAGGATAATTCACTATTAATCACAGTTTTATAAAGATTAGGAGAATATTGTAATTCAATTGATAGTTTAAATTAATAAAAAGGAAGGAACTTAGTAGTTGAACTATTAAATTCAATGAAATGCAAAGATTCTCTAGATATAGATTAAACTTTATTGAAAATGGAAGCTATTATGAAAAAGATGTAAGAATTAATGAATTGAATTAAATAAATTAATATAATAATCATATATAAAGATCTAATTAATTATTTCTACTTTTCTTATAAAAATAATGTTTTTTTAGAATATATTGACTATATATACTCTTTTTCTTAATCAAATAATATTAATGAATTCAATTTTTATACTCACATTATTATGTTTAATATAAGCCTAATAAATTTCACATGGAATGCATTATCTCTCTGAGAAATTTTATGGGAAGCTTGATACAAATGTATTTTATTATTATTAACTCAAAAATGAAAATCCTAATTATTGCATGTCCGATCATTATTAATGTTTATTTTTGAACTAATTATATTTGAATAACTATATTGATCATACATATGATAATCTAAAGCCTAAATTGATGAAAAAGGTATTCACTTATTATTATTTAAAGGTTTATGATTTTGTTGAATTTTTAGAGACCCATAAAAAAGCTTATTTCAAAGATTCTTCAAGGAGAGAACTTGAAAAAAGCTTTGAAAAACATTATTAAATTTGAAAATAAAAAATATGTATTTAAATAAATATGATATCACTATTTTATGATCATTTTGTTATAAATAATTATTTAAAATATCTTAATTATTCTAACTTAAGTCAACATTCAAATAATGAAATATAATATCAATCATCTAAATGATAATACATAGTCCAAACTTAAAAAATATTACCCCTTCATTTTAATTTAATTAAATAGAAAATGTTTTTAGTTAGAAGGATGCTCTATTATTTATTGATGGAATTTCATTAATAACAAAAAACAAACAATAGTAGTATCTTCTACAAACACAAAAAATTTATATAATAAGAAACTATATATTTTTAGTGCATATAGGAATTTATATTTTGATAATAAGAACAAACAGATCATAATAAAATTAATGTATTTAATGATTTACTCATGATTAGTGTATAATTCTATTAAAATAATCATGAATATGTATATATATTAACTAATATTCATAAATGATTTAATGATATCAAGTATAAATAATACTTTATTTTTATTAGATAAGAATTTATTAAAATAATTTTAATCATTGATTATTTTATTATACAAATACTCTTTATTCTATAGGATATAATTATTAATTAAGAATACAAAAATTGTTTTCTAATATTATAAACTTCACCGTTTATTTGTTTAATTATAGCAATCATTCAGTACATAATTCTAAAATACCTTAAATTGAAAATAAAAACAAATGCAATTATACAAAAAATCTCATTCTTTGAAATGATAAATATAAGGAATATTTTTGATAAATTTACTTCTAAATTCCATCATTTGATTAATTATTATTATAATAATTTTTTATTAATTAGAATGATTAAATTTATTTTGGATTCATCTTTATAAATTTTTAGATTATTATTTCAATAGAAAATTAATATTCTTTTGTTGATCTCGATTTAACAATCTGTTTTTAATTATTTATACTAATCCATTTTACATAGTAATTTTACATTTTAATTTTTATCTAAGTTATTATTAAATGATTAATTTACCTTTCCATAAATGGAAATTGAATTTTTATGATCCTGTATTTGAAGCTGAATTTGAAACTCATTAAAACAAAATTAGACTCATCTCATTTCAAATGATAAACTTATTGGTTTCAGTAGCTGCTCTAATTTGTTTAATAACATTTGTTATTCAATAACAGCCCATTTAATTAATAATAATTATGATAGGAGTAGTAGGAGGTTGTTTTTTTATGCTGATTGTTGGTAAAAAATTGTAGCCTTACCTAAAACAAATTTTTTCGTTTTATTTTGTTTGGAGTTAATCTACAAATGTATTGATTGCCTTTAGTGGATTAAATATGTATTTCTTTGTCATAATTTAGACCTACATTTGTATTTGGATTTAATACTTGTTGCTTTGCTGTTGGGACTTTATAATATAGTGATAACAGATTGAAATTAGTTTACACAATACTCACTCCTTTTATATTCTTATGGGTTTTCGATATTTATTAAGCTGATCAAATTCAATATGTATTTTAAACAATTGCTTGTGTTGTTTGTATTGGAATTTGGACTTATATGTAAGAATATACAGCACGTTTGGCATTTTCACTGAATTTAATTGCAAATAAATAAAAGTATTGTGATTCTTATTTTATAGAGAACTAATAAATGAATTTGTAAACGATGCAATGTTTGCAATCAGCTTAGATTCTAGAACAAGATAATTTATTTTGGAATTTTAAAACAAAAAATTTGAAGAAAATATGAATATCAAAGAAACAGAATAAATGAAGAATTTTCTTAGATAATCTTATTTAATAATAAAGGCTTAAGAAAGTCAAAAAAGATTAACAGAAAAAGGTTTATTAAGAGGATTAAAATTGGAGGAGTTTTTATTTAAAAAAATAAAACCTGATACAGAACTAATATCATAAGACATTGATAATGAAATTGAAATAATGTATCATAATTTAATTACAGATTAAATGATGGATATGAAAATTTAAATAAAATAAATGAATTTTGGAAAACCTATCTTAATTGGAATAATTAAATCTGAATAAGTATCAAATTTAATAGGAGAACATTAAAAATAAATAAAAGAACATTAAAATCTTATGATTAATTTTTCAACGTAAATTGTTTCACAACAAGAAAAGTTATATAAATAAATCAATAAAACATAATTAGGAAGTTTTAATGAATTCTAATAAATTATGAATTTAAAGTGTTTAAACCTATCTATAATTAATTATATTAGGAATTATATATTGTATTTTCAAAGAAATAAAATTTCAACTCAATTATAAGTTTATAAAAAGTTTCAAATTAATGAATATCTTAAAACTATTTAATAATACTTTCATTGTATAGCATAATATTATGAAATTAGATTTAATATTTTTAATCATGTTGATAAAAATTGTTAAATAAATATCAATATAAAATATTTAACATAAATACTATTTAATATCTTTGAATAAATTACTAAATAATCTTGTTACATAAATAATATATCTCTTAATATAATTGAAGAATATACTTAAAATGATCAAGTATTAGAAACAAGAAGGAAAGTTGAGGATTCCTAAAGTGCATCAAAATAATTAATTGATTTTAAATTAATTTAATTCTAATTTGATGTTGAAAGTTCATAATTACTTGATTTATCATGCTTCAATAAATTAGAATAATATCAAAAGACAGAATAAGATGAAAATTATATCATATAAGAAGTTACAACATGTTTATTAGATTGTATAGGTCCTTATAATAAATTATAAATAGTTGAAAATATAAAATTAGAAGATGGGAATTTTTGTAATAAGTTTTCTTTCAAAATATATTCTGATTAATCTTAATTAGAACCCTCATATTTGAAGGTTATTGATAAACCATTAATTTATTGATTTCTTGTATATATAAAAAATAACATTTTATTAAAATAATAATATTAAATGAAATAAAAATTTTTAATATCATTTATGGAAACATCAATATAATTCAATATCGTTTTAAAAATCTTTTTGGTATTATTGAAGGACTTATTTTATCTAATATTTAATTGCTTCTTTCATTAACGAATCTAAATGGTAAAGTCAAAGATTATAATCCTACTGTTTCACCTCCTTTTATTATCACTGATGAAGGAACTTTTAAGGTTTTGAGCAAAGCAAATACTAAAGAATTAGAAAATTCTTAGACTCCTTTTTTAGTTCCTTTAAATAAACCTTCTTCCAGTGGTTTTAGAAGTAAATTTAAAGTACCTTTTACTAGATTAGTAACAGCTGAGAAAGCTTCTAAACTAGTTAATGCTTTACCAGCTATCATTAATTTAGAACCTAATGATGTTTATAATTATGTTATAACACAATTTATTACTTCTTCAGGAGTTCCTCTAATTTATGTATTCATATATTTGATTGGTATTTATAAATCATAAAATGAACTACATTTTAATAAACCTTTTAATAAATCATCCATTTATAATCCTTAAGAATCATATGAAAGATTAAGACATGTTTCAATAATTTATAGACTCTTCAACCAAATTTAGGGTGAATTTTGAACAGAATTAAAAATTTGAATTTAATCTTCATATATTTTCTTTTTAATCCAACTTTAACTATTTTAGAAATTGAAAACAAATTAAAGGAAAGCTCCAGATATACAAATTCTCATAGGAGCAATAGATATAAATGCTGTGTAAGTTTAATTTTCTAAGATTAATCCAATTTCTATTGGAATACTTTTATAATCAGAACTAAATGATTCTATATCTGGACTTAATATAAGTTTAAATTTAGAATCTTAAATTTTATCTTCAATTTCAAAATGAGATTAAAATTTAATACCAGTTTATCCTTTGGCATATAATTCTATTTATAAATTTATATTTGTAAAATTCAAACTAACTGTGTCTAATATCTTTTTGAAAGGTAAATCAGATTAATTAACATAATCTTTTAGCTCTTCTACAAAATTTTTATCTTATTCACTCGTATTTTCCATATAAAGAGGCATTTAATAAAATGTATGTCCTTCTTCTAAATGCATAAGTAATTGGCCTATTATTATTTCAATTTTATTATCTAATTACTCTCCTTCTATTAGTGATTTGGATAGATCCTATTAAATAAAATATTCATTTTTTGTAGCATCTTAAGGAACTGTTTAAGGAATATAAGGTTATAATTCTTCATTGATTTCTAGAATAGTTTAAATAATATCAAATCTAAAATTTGCTTAGATCAAATCTATTCTTAAGATATTTTCAAAAAAACTGATTTAATTAATTGAAAGTACTGATGTAAACTAAAAAACACTTAATTTATTAAAATAACCCTCAAGAATTAAAGGACATTAAAACTCAAATCCATTTTATCTACATACATATAGTTCAACTTTTGATAATTACAGCTTTTTAGTATAAATCAAATCTTCAATATGAATTAAAGCTCTGCTATTAGAGAATTCTTTAATAGTTTATAATCCTTAATTCGATAATTCTTCAACCTCATTAATTGGAAATATATCCAAAAATAAGTTTTTACGAACTTTAATTTCAATCTCCATTTCTTTTTCTTACTAATTCTATTATAAATTTTCTGGTTATTTCTTCTATGAATTAATTTGAAAGTGTTATAGAATAGGATTTAACTTTTTAAAAGAAGTTAATTTAAAATCAGATATTCTTAAACAAATATTCTGTATAGATATTTTCATCATTTTACCAAGTTACAATTTAAAAATATAATTTTCAAAATCTACTTCAATTGGTTTTGAATATAATTTTTTTGATCCTGCAGAAATAATTTAAGAATTAAATTAATTTGTATTTATTCTATATAATATAATTTAAATAGCAGAGAATTTCTTAACTTATTATTAGAGTATATTTCTATTATATTTAACCAAAGGACATTAATTATCTATAAGTAATATATTTTGAATTAGTAAAATAGTTTATTTAGCAGATATAAAAGTAATCTTTTCTAAATCAAATTATAATAAATCTTTATTTAA